AAGGACACCCTGGGCTATTAGTCTGTGAAAACAAATCAGTACAATCCTATTGGAAAATTTTTACACACGAGCTAATTTTCCAAAGATCTCCTAGAAAACCTGTTTCAGAAAGTTCTTCTGGGAAAAATTTGATTATGATAACATGTCCTCAAATCTCCTCCTTCGAATGATGAAATGGGAGCTCTTTAGCTTTTTCCTATGAAAAGTTATTCAAAAAACAGTCGTATACCATTCTTTTTTTGGATCGACAATAGTTTCATGAGTTGTACAAAACCAGAAATAATCTGAAAAGATGAATCGTTAAGCGACAGATGAACACTTTGTAGAAGAAAGAGTCTCTCTATAGCATTAGAATCTTTTGTTTCACAGGGACTCAGATGCATGTCAATCACTATTGGATTCATAACCGCTTTATTTGTTTTAGGGCAAGAATTAGGAGGCGAATTTCCAATTAAAGATGTGAATACAGGTGAAGGCGGTCTTCTACAAGTTTGTCTTGAAGGAATATGTCTCATATTTGAAAATGATAAAGTAAGAGAGTCTTAAAATGTTTAAACTTAATGTCTAAATTTTATTCTGTTTTATAGGAGTTCATTGAATTGCAAAAAATTCGAAAATGCACAACACAAAAAGGCGATATATTTGTTCTAGAAGAATTTGGTAATGATAAAGCGGTATGGTATTTATTTCTATCTATATTATGTCGGGCTTTTTTTTTTGTAGATGCGCATACAAAACAAATACTCATAAGAAAATACAAATCGTCAATGGTAAATATTTTGATTATGCTTAAAGTTCACTATTTCAAAGTAAATGTGCTTTTACCCAAAACGTCACTTGGATATATTTATTGCTTTACGTAGATCAGTAGCACGTTCTTTCAAATACAACATACCCTCTTTCGGCTTCAAATGATTAATGTTGTTGTATATTTATGTCTATTATTTTGTTGTCGTATCTAGGCAAGTAAAGCATTGCTTGCATTTCATCGAATCATCTCCATTGCTATGGAAAAGCACAAATTACCATTATCGGTTTTGTCTACCGATGACAATGGAAATATCGTCAACGGTAGCAATAGGAACACTATTAAGGCAGATTAGGTATAATTGAAAACAATGTATGAGATATGCTGTGCTTTGCTTGAAATTTTCTACACTTTCGTGCATCGCTAATACGTCTTTGCTCTCATACTCTAAAACAACTTCTCCTGAGAAGCATTGTTCATATGAAAGGTAAGCTCTAAGAGTCAATTTTGGGATGTACTTTGCATGTTTTAATTTATTGCTTGTTTATTTGAAATTTCACGAATTTCTATATTTAACCGTATGTATGTATTGTTAATAATCGACTAAACTAATTTGATTGTGAAATTCGAAACACATTTGAATATGATAATAAATTGTTTATCCATGTGTTTCAGGCTGATAGAATTTGTTATGCTGTATTATGTGTCTTCTCCTATTTGGCTGCTGGCAACGATCAATAATGATTAATTTTTTAACATTCTCTTTTAGAATTTTATTTTCTAATTCTAATATTATTCTTATTTTTAGTATTCTATGCATTCTCAATAGTTGGTGTATTTTATTTTTCATCATTGTAATTTTTATTTTTTTTTGGTGATTTTTATTTTTCGTACGCGAGTTAGAGTGGTGGTGATATTGTCTTAGTCATGAGATGATGATGCTAACATTATTTATTTATTATATTTTGCACTGTATAAAACAAACAAAACCTATTTATGTCTTCCTTTTCATTTTATTTATCTACTCTGCTCTTTTTCTAGTCATTTCTAATAAAACAATTGTTTAGGAGAGTGCAACGCGGAATGACTTTATTTTTTGTTTGTTGTTAATATGCTAGTATTCTTTTATTGTTATATTTACTCTCTATTTGTATACATACACAAAATACTAACCTCATCTTATCCATCACTAAAAAATACTGTTAACAGTTCTCTTGAGGGCGACAACTGTAAAAGAAAACTGACTCTTGTATTGTTAAAAAGGCACGTCATGATTATATGGTATTCGCTAATCTTTAGCAGTTTGAGTTGAATCGATCCGCGAGAAATTATAGATCATCTCTCTATGGCAGCTACTATAGCCTAGTAAAAGTTATAAGAACTTTTCTGGAAAAATTTAAGAGATAGTTTTGTTACTTCACTGACAATGAGTGTCATTAGAATTGTTAAGCAAGTTTTGGGATCTGAATGAAACTAAATATTGGAAGATTTCTTAAAACAGATGTTGTATGCTGAGATCGCTATTCTCACTCTTTCGCGTTTTTATCCACCATAGATTGGTTTTTGTTAGTGTCTATTTGTCATCTTGTTTATCGTTATGTTTTCCTTAGTCACGGAAAAACTTGATACTGGTTTTTGTAAAGACCGTTCTTTTTTTCCCTTGAGATATCTATTGAGAATAATCTTTCTGGTCTAGTCAACATTTTTTGCAATATTCTTGACGATGCCATTATATTGTGACGTTAGAGCAGCCGTTAAGTAAATCTTTGAAAAATTGATGATTCTGTTTCTAAATTCGTTTCTAGTTCTTGAATTTCAATACCTAAGTAATAGTTTTTTTTCTCAACTGTACGAATTTTTTTTATTAATGCGAACTCCTTGTTTAAGTTAGTTTGTAATTATGATTATATTTCTATTGTGTGCAGCAGTCAGTAATTGATCTTTTATTTATTTTTTATGTTTACTATTGTCTTGACTCTTTCTCACTTATCTTAAATAGAACATAATAAACAACAATAATAAACATTCTGTTGCAGTCAACTTGTATTGACAAATGCATTTTACTAAAACTCAATAAGGTAGGCGTATAAAACTGCACTATATCAGCGAACTAATAAAACAAAGTCAACATAACAGTTTCATTGTCTTCTAGAAAAACTCTTTCGACGGTGTTTTCTTAGAAGTTTATTAAAATTATCTCGAACAGAACATCCTTTTTCTTCGATAAAGAGTTCATCTAATTTAAGAATATTCAATTTATTCTTCTGTTAGAAAAAAATATTTTTTATCGTTTATAAAGATCTGTCAGTTTTCTCACGTGTTAACATTTACGGCTTTAATTAAAACCAAATTTAAAATTCACCTTCTCTAAAACATATTCATATGATTCAAGTACTGTTATTGTACTAAGTTATGCTTACTGACTGTCAGATCATCTCATTTTTTAAGAGAAATTTTTGCTCTATTTTAACGAATAATGAAAATAATGTTTGGCACGAGGAATATTTAGATATCTTGTATTTTAACTTTATTTCTTTAAGCGGATTAGAATTAAGATTTTTTCGATGATGTGTATATACGTACACATTCGAGTCAGCGTCATACAAATCTATTCTCAGATTTATTGTATCTACTATGATTCATGAGTAAAAACAACAAACAGTTTTATTCCGACACTTTATATAATAAGAACAGTTTATCTAACATTCACAGTTGAATTGAGCGATCAGATGAAAGAATAATATTACACCGAAGTAACCCAAAGGGGATGACACAATAAAAATACCGAGTCTTCTATTCTGTCCCTGAGAACAAAGGAGTAATACTTTACAGAATATTATGAGTCAATGAGAGACAAACAGTTATGACCAGAATTGCCAGATGTTTAGATAAAAAAAAGCGGAATTTTTTTCCAAAAGCAAAGGGTATCAAAAAAAATTTTTCTAGCGCTTTATGGTGGTTCCAATTTTTTTCCAGAAACACAAAAGAGTACAAAACAGGAAGTACAAAACATCATCGAATTCCCAATTTGAATCGACATTGGCTTTTTGTGAATGCGCGTTTTTGACCAGCCGTCGTAAATTTCAAGAGTTCTGTATAGCAGGATAAAAGTTAATTCGAAACTTTCCCGCCTACTATAACACTTAATGGTTAAGATTTTCTGCCCGAGTTGGCTTTCTTGAAGATTTAGTATTTCACTATTTTTCACACTCCGATTCAGCAGCACTTGAGACAAGCTGTTTTTCTGTTACCGTTTACTTCCGGAGCAAATTTCTGATTTAGTTCTCAAAACAGTGCGCATCTGTTTTATAAAAGTTCCAAAAGCATTGTTTTGACAGATCATTCAGTGGCCGAAGGCGGCAAACTTTTATTAGAAAATGTAATAATCTTAACCCTTTGGTGACGGGGCTCGTATATATACGGGCAGTACATAAAACCTTCGTTACTTCACTTATTTTGCCCCTTTCTCACTTCCCATATATTTTCTAGCAAAAATAATAATATATTTGAGATCGGCAGACAAAACTGGGTCGAATA